GTAAGTACAAATGAGTGATTCTGTTGGATTTATCACACAAGAATGTTAAATGGTAATTTTGGGTGTTGATAAAACATAAATTAGTTTTATTATTTTAAGCATGCTTGTTTATTAGTTGTGAATTGGTACATCTAGATTTTATAGACCAATTTACATTCTTCACATGTTGGTCTTTCATTATGTTTCTACATCTTTGATGGCTTCTTTCCTTGGGAAATATTTGGAATTCTACAAGCAGTTTTGATATCATACCAAGTGAAGTAGATGCTCTGAAACAAGAACATGTGAATTATGTTGAGGTTGCCATTATTGATTCCTTGTGTATGGGCTCCCCTTTGTACTGAATAAATATGTCTGGTGTTTGTCAAGTGAAATATTGAAAGTGGCGTCTTCTACCTTGTGTACGGGGTCCTCTCTCTGCTGAATGAAATCAACTGGCGTTAGCCAAACAAAATATTAAAAGTGGCATCCTTGTAATAAAGGGGTTAGGGAAATTGAAGGAAAGAGAAACAGTAAAGGAGACAAAAGTGTAACTAAGGAGAATAACTTCGGAGAAAGGAAAATTATGCAGTAATTATAGAAAGTACTTTGTGAAATTTAGAGCAGATATGGTGGAGTAGCAACTAGTATTGTAGTGGGGTTGTTGCTAAAGAAAACTATGATAATGTGTGACATGCCAACAGGTTTATCTCTGATGGAGAATTATCTCTATCGCTGATGCCTTGTACTCGGAGCATATTTTAAGGTGTGAGGTGTGGGGATGAGAGTAATCTCAGGACAGCTTATCTAAACATGCTTTTATAAACATTGTTCATAAATGAAGTTTAACTAAAAGGTGGAGCTTTATTCTTGACGTTTCGTCACAAGACACCAAATGACCAATGGAGAGACATAACTTAGCTCTGCCCACCACCACATTACAAATTGTTTGTATAAATGTCTGTAACCCATATTGTGTATTCATTCATTTGAAAAGGTCTTGTGACAAAATGTCAGGAATAAAGCTCCACATCTTAGTTGTGTTTCCTTCACAACTGCACCACCTAATTCATTTCCCACTTTTTTGTGGTGACCTTTCCCTTATTGTCTGTTCTTTGCCACAAGCTCCCTTCAGGAAGCTGCTTTCCTTCCCAACTCTTATGGTAATCTCTTTATTTTGCTAATGTTTTTTTACACTCATAGTTGTGTCATCCAATCGGTTTTCCTCATAATCTAACCATTTGCTACCAGGAGTGTCATTTCAGATTTTGCTTAGGGGAGCAACACCATTACATGCAAAGAGTAGGGGTCAAAATCCTGCTCCACCGTGGTGCCGCCGGGTGGTGCTGTAACAGACAGAGCATGTTTTATATTTTCAATTTGCATCTGCCCGGTGTGGACCATGTGGCTGCTAGCAATATGACTTAATGTACTTCCTTGCTGCTACAGTATTCAGTAAAAATACCATTGGGATGTTCTCACCAAATCCAAATTCTTCTATATGAAAAAGGAATATAATTAAAATTTTCCTTGGAGAGCAAGACAGCCCTTGGGAGGAGCAAGCCAGGTCTTGGGGGGACAAGTGCCCCCCCCCCCTCCCCTCCACCACAAAAAAAAAATGATGCCCCTGTTTGCTACATGATATTTCTCTTTGCCCACCTACTTACCCTGACATCCTTTGTCTCTGGCCATCTCTTCCATAGCACATCTCCAATACACTTCTTTAAAACTGTCTCCCATGCATCACTTATACTAGTATAAGTCAATTTTTTTAATTTCAACATCCCAAATTCTACACCTGTCTCCTGTTACCATTTCCTGCTGCAACTACCTCAGATCAGGTGAAAGTTCACTGAAAGTCACCACACTCTAGCACAATGGCTCCGAACAAGGGGGGGTGGGTGTGTGGGGTTGGTATGGGTGGGGAGGCATAAAGCCACGTGGAAAACATATATACGGTACTGCATTGACATTCTTTTTTCTTTTATTCAGAAATTTTCAATAAAATTGCAATTTTTTCTTCGATATATTCAGTCTTATCCATATGCATAAGATACATAGACAAAATAATTATGAGCTAGTTGATCTTGAAAGTAATATAGATACAAGTACAGTGGTCCCTTGGTTTACGAACATAATTCGTTCCAGAGTCGTTCTTTAACCAAAAATTTCGTTAACCGAATCCATTGTTTCAATGGGATATTGGGTAATTGGTTCCAGCTCACAGAAAAGTACATTCAAAGTAAAAAAAAAATGCAGTAAAGTACACTTACTTTGAGGTGTATATGTAGAAGGTTCCTGGTTGATGATGATGATGATGGGAATTAGAAGTGGGGGGTGGAGGAGAAGGGAGAAGAAAAGGAAGTGGGGATGGAGGAGAAATCACCTTTCAGGGGACCCATGCTTGATGCAGTAATTTCACTAACAAAATTTTAAGTTCACTAGGTGTAATTCAAGATAATTTTATTTAAATCAACACTGCACTGCGCTATATATTATCAATATGCTAACTAAATTTCAGAATGACTAATAATTTTAATGTAAATGCAAAAAATATTCAAGACACCAACAAAATAGATGTTCACTCCACTGTAATCAAAGTCAAACTGACGGCTGATGGGCGCACAAAAAACTAGTTCCCTGTACAGTACTGCATATATTATCAATATAACTACCCGGTAAATTTAAAAGTGACTAATAATTTTAATATAACAATGCAAAAATATTAAAGAGCACAACTTTCTTGATATTTACTCCACTGGAAACGAATGTAAACATAGAACAGATTACTGAATTGGCAGACTAGCCCATCAGCTGATGTTCACAACAAAACATGTTTGTCGTAAGGATTTCGTTAATCGAAGTTTTGTTCATTACCCGAATTGAAGATCCTTATGGGAGGTACAATGATTAAAATTGATTACATTTATTTTAGAAAATGGGGTGGTGTGAGGATTTGGTAAAAACAAAAGTGGGATGTCTTTTATGAAAAAGTTGGGAAAGCACTACTGTAGCATATACAGATATACAGATATTAACCCTTTAAGGGCGGGTATATTGACGCTCGCTGTCAGCCCACGGCAGGGCCAAGTAAGTTATGTAGAAAATGGAGCAAATCACATAAAATAATGTTGTTCAAATACATGAAATATTTCAATTTTATTGCTCCATTAGAATGCTGAATCTTTTTTCTACAAATTCATATTTAGTCAATAATTCCGAGAAATAATTTCTTGGAGAAATGTGGGGGTTAAACTGAGGGTACATATTTTTCCGGCTCTGGAGCAATCCGCCATGCATTGTTATGGTAACCAGACAACAACACATCCATGAGTGCACCCAAACAATGGCATGAAAAACCAAAATATCATATATCTGTTGATCTTTAAAGGTTAATCAAATCTTAACAAAGCTTCACTTCTGGTCATCTGGTCATCAGTAAATTTTGATAAAAATTTGCCAAATATATAGGTCAGGTGGCTCAGAGAAAGTTCACTACAGTATACTGTATTCTTAACTACCAAAACTGATATTGCCTGCCTTATCCCAGTGACAAATATGTATTTTACTAAGTCTCACCTTTTGAGCGATGTATCGTGTCTTCACCTCCTATGGTTTAATACGTACTTGTTGTGTTAAACAAAAAAACGTAATTAATGTGTGGTATGTGAAAGTATAATTCTTGTTAAAAGTGATGAACATATGTACCGGTTTGTCTTTTGTTCATTTTTATTAAACAGGTACAGTACTGTATACAGTACTGTACTATATACTATATTTCAATAAGAATGCATTTCTGCTTCAAGAGTTTATGTCTACATTTGTTGTTGCTTGGGCAGAATGTTCTGGCATTATTCATGACAAATATGGTAGAGTGTAATAATTATGGTAGGGTTATATTGTAAGTGTTAACATATGATAGTAATGCTAATGACTCTTACCAAAGACAGACTATTTAAACTACACTGCCACTTTCACCATTCACCCTACACTGAAGTTGAATAAGCACTCATTTACTCAGCAGAACCTGAATCATATACTGTAGATAAATTAATTGTAAAACATTGCACACTCAAGGAGAAATAAGTATTCATTGAAAGTGGATTTCATACCTACAGTCACATTGTACGTACAGATCATATATCTACATTAATCAAATGAAATTAAGTGAAGTGTGTTATGGCATAGAGGGAACATCAGCTGTTGCCAGTTTGGTGATACTATTATCCTTTCAGGAAACTTGCTGTGTCACATCTTTTGGTGACTGTTCATGCTTTTCAACAGAACATAGAATATGTTAGAGAATGTCTCTAAATTCTTCTGTAATAAATTTTTTTTTTAATTTGTTAGGAAGTGGTTATTTTGAAGGCAGTCAGGCAATGCCTCCAATTTAATCATGCAATACTGGAACCTCTCACATGTAAAATACAGATTATGCAATACACAAACAAATTATCTATCCAAAATATTCCAATTTCATTTGTATACAGTCAATTCTGCTATAACGCGATAGTTGTGTTCTTGTAAAACATTGTGTTATAGAAATTCGCGTAATAGAAATAACAGGGCTTATGGAGAAAATAGGGTTAGGTGCAGATTACTACTCGAAATCGAAAAAAATTTAGTAGTTAGCCTAACACAAAGGTTAGCACAGTCTAAATAAATGTTACATTCATATCTAATAATGAAATCATACAGTTAATGTAACACTTTACCTTGAAAAAATATGAATATAACTTGATGGGGGAGAAGGGTGATTTTGAGGTTGATAACATGGAGCTTCTTTTCAGGGGTTATAGCCTTTCTTTTACGATCATCACTGGGAATGCGATCACCAGAACGCTTCTTGGAGATATTCTTCTTTACCATATTCACAGTTAATACCACAAAATTGGAGAAATAGTAAGCAAAAATCGCGTTACAGCAATAAAGTGTTTGCGTTATACAAATATCGTTCCTCTATTCATAAATCGCGTTAGAGCCCATTCGCGTTGTCAAAACACTCGTTATAGCAGAACTCA